GGGGGGGGGGGGGGGGGGGGGGTGGAGCCGGCCGGTGGACTGGAGGCATGTCCCCCCTTAAATGTTATGCTATTTTCACACGATCTCTTGGGGCAAAACGTATAATTTTTATTTTTCAATTGAAACTTTGAAATGCTGTGGGATAGGGTGTTTTTAGAGGTTGTTATATCCATTGAGAAGATTTGTTTTTTGAGGAAATTAAGAATTTCAATCGCAAAATGATGTCAGTCCACCACAACTCACCGAGTATTAATCATGGCAAAATATGGTAAAAAGTGGAGGGTGTTTATATATTTATCACCCCTCCCCAATAGTGACAGGAAGCGACCCCCTCCAGGCGCCCTTGAGCAAATGGTCTATTTAGGTACTGTTCATTATTTATAACCATGGTTGGTACCGAACAGAAGCGAAACACAGTGTAATTTTTTTATTTACCCAACCTCAACATTGGTCAAAATAATGTTTACCCAACCTATGTGTTACTGTCCTTCATAATAATTAAACACACAAGATTATGGTGACAGAAATCAAGTTGCCTAAATTCTAAAAGTTCAATCTCACTGAGTGCGCCAAAGCAATCACGTTCCTGCTGATCAATGATAGAGTCCACTGATCGTCTGTTTTGGTACAGAATGTATTGTACACATTTTCCTACATATTTTCCAATATGCATGGTAATTTTGGTTTTATTTTATAGCTGACAAACAGCCATAATTTTTTTACCAAACCCATGAGCTAGTCAAAAACTTGATTACCCAACCCATATCTCTTCGGTACCAACCCTGGGTGTAAATAATGAACGGTCCCTAATATTTTATTTTATAATAGTGATTACTTTTTACATATAACTAGTTAAAGAAAATGAAGGAATGGATTGGTTTTCCATCGTTTATTAAGAATCCTGTCAAGCTGAACAAATTTTATGAAAATGTAAGTTTTTAATCTTTAGTCTCACATCAGATACAGTATGTACGTTATACTGTACAGTGTATGATGTCCGCATAGCGAAAACAAGTCAGAATTAAATATGTTATCTATCATGTGTTTTAGGTTCAGGTCAATCAATATACTGTTTTGCAAAATACACTAAGTATTTTCAAAGATCAAGTTCTGAAGAAAATAAATAAACTAGGAAAGCCTCCAGACAATAGCAGGTATTCCACCCAAAGGAAATGTAATTGATTGTGTTCATTGTTGATGTCTGCTAAAGCAACATTAATTACAAGGGGGATCTACCGTGTGGTTTCTATCACCCCCCAGAGAAGTGCAGCACCACCCTAAAAATAAGCTTGACTATAGTTTCTACTTTTCGAACAACGATTAGAGGAACTTCTATTGTTAGTGCTTGTCGATTTCTTGGAACGATTTAATTAATTTGCGAGCTCATGAGAAAATACTCAGAGTGGTCTAGTTAAATTTATGCCATATTTACAAAAATACTGTACGTTAACAAGCAAATTTACTGCAACTGTCCATTCACGCATGCCTGGTAAAAGTCCGATATAAACTTTATAAAGAAAAGATAATGTAAAACATAACAGAACGGCGAACATGCAGATTCGGCCATCTCAATATGGTAGTACTACATAGTCGTAGGATAGTAGCGTTGCAGACTGCGGAAGAGAATGGGCAGTTAGGCTCCCTCATGCACCACTCCATGGAAAACCTGCACCCTTCTTTGCAGACAAGGCTACAATCTTTGCCAGAAACTATGGGACAGCTGCCACGTTCCCCCAGTTCAATGTTGGGCCAACAAAAATCTGATGTCTGGATGCACGGCGCCAACATTGAAACGGGTGGGGGGAGGGAGGGTGGAAAAAATGTATCAGGCAATGGTATATTACAACCGAATGCATGTGAAAACTAGATTGTCCCAATGTATATTGTCAAAGATTGTAGATCTGCCCTTGGTCAGGGAACAGTTTCCTTCTTTACAGCAATATATTCTAGAATTGAGTATCGCGTTCTTAACTTCAATCAATAAGTCGATGAATAACTCCATCGCTAAATAAATCAGTAAATCATAGGCGGATCTACTGCCGGGGAAGAACGGCGGTGCGTCCCCTCCCCCTATTGCTGTCCAGCTCCGCTTAATGGTGCAGTCCAACGCCCCCTTGAAGAGAAACCTGTGGTATTCCATATTAACTTTAGATTTCCCGCTTTGAAACGATTGAATAATTTTGAGTAGGCGTTATGCCATGCATACGATCACTATCGTACGTACTTCATGTTAGGACTATACACTACGTATCCGCATCAGATGCGTGATCATGTCGCAAAAGTTGATATGTTGCTGTTTCATGATGATTTCAACAAAACTAGAAAATACATGCATGCAGAAACCCTCGCCTTCTGACAAAACCATTGTATTTTCCGAACAAGAAGTATTTAAAGTAGTTGTCATGGTAACACGATAATTTTTTAGGAATATTTTACAAATGAAAAATCCCCTAAAAATATCACTTTAATTACAAAATTACAAATTTCCCAAACATATTTGTTAGGTTATGTTATGTTATTATACGTAATATAAGCTTCAATTTAAGGTAAAATTCAATCACAAACGCTTCGCAAAACGTTTTAAAGTGTTCTTTATATTAAAACTAAACTGCCTTTTGGCTTTATCGATAAACTTTGAGTTTGAAATAAAATGATTTCAACTTCTCGCATGCAAATAACTTTGCTTTCTTTTTTATTTCAAAAATTTAATATAATAAAAAAGGGTAGTCAATAAAGTATACACTAAAATTATATATGCCGTCTTGTTTCCTTTAATATACGGCTTTTAAGGCAATTATAAAGCAAACAATACATTAATATTTAAAACAAACTTACCTTCGTTAACATGGGCGCCTTTGCTCCCTTGTTTTAGCCGATTCTTTCGCCCTCTTGAAAACATAAAAATTTTTAACATCAGCATTATTTTGGAGCGCTCTCAAAAAGTGTTATAAACAACATTATATGTAAAAATGCTTGGTAATGCTTGGTAAAAATCAAAACGGGACTGTTTAACTGTCATAAACAAGAATTTAGAGATTTTGTTTCAAACTCGCTCTATTTTAGCATTTTGATTTTTTGCTCCCCAATGGGCGCGTTCCCTTTCTTTGACTGAATTAAGTTTACAATGCCCCCTCTAGTGTTATTTATAATCTCTATGTCTCCATCCCCCTCTGGTAAACCTCTACCCCTTCTAGGAAACGAGGCCAGACCCGTCCTTCAATTAATAATGAATCAACAAATCAATTCAATAAAAATATTTCAATTTTCAACCAATACCATTTACATAATTTAGTAACAATGCAACTATATACATTACTCAAAACTGGTTTATATTAATATCAGCGGCAAGGAGTCATCCAGCGACCATAGGACTTAGGCGTAAAAAAATACCCTATTTTTTCTGCCGACCCTATTATTTTTTCAACGCGATTGACTGTGCGACCCTATTCTCTCCGAGTGGTTGCGGGCTGCTGCCAAAATGGCGTCTGTTGTCACACTAATTATTGAAAAAAAAAACATGAAAAAATTATTCAAAAAAAATATTTCCGACCTACCGACCCTAATTTTTTCGCGATATGAAACCGGAACCACAAGTATTTTTTTACGCCTTATGAATAGGATGTCTCCTTTGAGCCGTTAATTAAATACGTGAATATTAAAAGTGAGATAACTCAGACAGCAATAACAGTGAACGTAATCATAAATGTATGACTCAATTAAGTAAGTATAAAGTATTTCAGTATGTCTCAGTGTTTGCAACAGTACCAGTAAGGGAATTCAGTATACCAATAAGTAGAAACACCTTCTATGTGTACAAATGCCTTCTTTTAAGACATCTTTGTATTTTCTATACAGATTTTTATTACCACCTCTTACAGTCAATGCATTGTATAATCCTTTGACAAACGCCATGGGTAAGTCTAGCATTACCTTTAAATAAATCCTCTTTACTAATTATTTTCTTCGTGCTCTTCGCCCTCCTTCTATCATTCATTACCTACCTATCTACCTATCTACCTTACGTATCAATCATAGATATATTATATACACTAGATAGTGCATGCAACTAATTATTCTGCAATTCAAAAATTGAAACCGTGATTGCAGTTTCAGGATATTCCCATGAAATGAGAATATTTACATGTTTTCTATTTTATAACAGGGAACTTAAACATTAAGTTAAACATATTCCAAATACATTTTTAAACTATTCAAATGATGAAAGTTGTTGTCTTTTAAGCGTTTATTAGCCAGTGGGAACTACCAACATGGCCGCTATCTATTCAAATGGGGGTAACCGCTGGAATATTCTTGGCTTCAATTTCACTAAAAGAGATGCGCTATCTAGTGTATATAAGATATCTATGGTATCAACGGGCTGCCCACTTCATTCATTTTATTTTCATGGGCTTTTTCATATGTGTGTTGACCAAATTTTTATTGCTTATCTTGCAGCTATCTTGGCAGGAATATTACAACCACCTTTCTACAAAGACGACAGGCTGAAGTAAATGATTCTGTTTTGTTTTGTGTGTGTCACTAGAAGACTGCGCAGCTCATAACTATTGCTTTTGTGAATTTCAGAGCGTTGAATTATGGTTCTCTTGGTATGATCGTAGGACATGAAATGACACATGGCTTTGACAATATAGGTAGGATGATACAATTAAGCGCCAAACTTAAAAAAAAACTTGAAAACTTAAATTAATTTTTTGTGTCATTCAAACGAGTGAGTAAATGATCTATTCGCATGTGTTGCATGCATCCATGTAAGTGATAGATACTGAACTTGCTAATTCTGTTTAGTATATAATTTCGGTATTGAAAAATGACCTTTAAGCATCTCACTGGCTTCCTTTGTAAAGTTTGTAAAGCATCACCCAAAAAAATGGTTGAAAATCAGACGGAAGTGAATTATTTATACAAATTATATTCATAAAATAAACGCGTGTATTAGTCCCCGGGCCAACGGCGCGGAGCGCAATGGCGAGGGTACTAATTCCGCCCGGCTATTTACACCCGGGTAAAGGAACTCACTAGCGACAGTGAACTCTACTATATACTGGAACGATAAGAGTAAATAGGAGATAGCGTGGGTAAATAAAATTTTTCTATCTATCTACAATCATACCGAATGGAATGTCCAGTGACAGGCACCATTTAAACAAGTTGATCCTTGTTCAAAAATCAATAGTTATAAGAAATAAAAGTAAAATAAGAGTAAAATAATACAATACTTATCTTTTAATTAATGATTTGTCGGCTTCAGTCCACTAATATAGCCCAAACTGAACCATCCTCGTTCCCTGGGCTTCTGGGCTGCCTCGCATTTCAAGTAAAAATCCGAAATTTCTTGGCCTTTGAATGATTGAATCCACACTTGTGAAAATATATTAACACGCTTTCTCTTGCTCCGACTCCTGGTGACAAGCCCACGCAAAAATTATGCGTGTTTTATACCTACAAAACGAGCTTCAGGCAAGTATGGGCATGTTTATTAGCAGTTAAAAACTCAATAATTCAGGAGGAAAACACAAAGAAAAATCATAAGCGTGTCGTGGTTTTATATGTGATAAAAAATCATGTTAATTTACATAAACTTTAGCTTTGACTTTCTCGGTTTAGACAAAGTTTATTTTAAAAATTACTTCGCTAATGTACTCATCAGAAGATGGGTCGTTTTTTAAGCCATTTAAAGCACTCGTAGTCGTGTTTTACCACATATAAAACACTCCGCTACGCGTCGTGTTTTATATGTGATAAAACACTCCTACTCGTGCTTTAAATAGTACTTATCATTCCTGTATATAGTAGAGTTCACTGACTAGCGAAGTCTAAAGTTCATCAAATATCGCGGGCGCATGGTCTATGGGTGGTCATCCAACTGATCTCAAAATATCGCTGTTTGCCAGGAGTGAAGAAGAGAAAAATATAAAAAATACATGTAAGAAAGCTTGGAAAATCGTTTCACATAACCAATTCTAAAACTTTCTTTCATTTTTTAAACGAAACATTTATAAGAATTGATTTAGTATGAGAAATCCTAAAATACAGCCTGGGGCAGTTTGTTTCAACTATTTATGTATGATTTTGTATTATTATGGACTTTGTTCTTGTTGTTCAAATCTTTCCTATGCGTTGTATGCGAAAGTTTCTTAATTAAATTAACTTTTGTAGAAGTTCATGATAAAAAGGAAAGCAAATTATTTTTATGCGGGGTAGGGGGGTAAATAGGTTTTCGGATTTCACAGAAAAAATTGTTCGGATTTCGGATCTGGCATGGCGAATATTTTACACGGATTTGCGAATCTTATTAATACAGCGGATTGCGGATTTTTCTAATATTTTGGTTCAGATTGTGGATTTAGCTTGTAATTTAGTTCGGATCCTGGATTGTGATTTCATAGTAGAACTTTTAGCGGATTCAAATTTAGACAAGACCATTGTCGGATTGCGGATTTTGCTTCAAATTTGGACGGATCGGCGGATTTGTATACCCCTATTCACCCCTCCCCCCTTTATTAGCGTCTTGTACGAATTAAATTTATTTCATTTCAAAGTGCGAGTATTCAATATTAAAGTTGAAGCTCAAGTTGAAGAGTTTATAAATATCGGCAAAAAGCAGTTAATTTCAATTCACATTTAAAAACGTTTTACGTACAGTTTCGTATTGAATTTTACATTAAAATAAAGCCTACAGAAAACAAAATAATGTATTTACTTTATATATTTTATAAATTGATAGTTCTGTATTTAAAAGTGTTCAAGTTCCATTTATTTTTTACAGGTTTGTACAAAAAATTAAAAAAACAATTGTCGTCTTGCCATGACTAACATGACGCGAGCCTACGTTCAGTGTTGGCATAATTACGAATACTTCATGTTGAAACAATATTTGGAAACATAGGCGAGAGGTTGTTGTATGCATGTATTTCTAGTTTTATTTATAAACAAAACTTTTTCAATACTGAAATTATACTAAAACAATTAGTCGCCTCAGGCTCGGTGATTACAAGCCTATATTCAATTTGCCTTCGCCTCAGTGAATATAGGCTTGTAATCAACTCACCTCGGCGTCTAATTGTTAAATAATGTTTTCACGTAATTATATTAATAATAACAGTTGTAGTATGGTTTAATTTATCGCCCAATTTGGAAAAACAAACATTCGTAAATCTTTCAAATGACACTAATCCTTCGGACTTTGATTGTTCTTGAAAAACTTGTTCGTACATACCTTTTTCAAATTGCACGCGGAACGACACTATAACCTATACATACTATAGCCATTCTGTAAACATCACAAACAGGAAGTCAGTTTGATGAGAACGGAAATGCTCGTCAATGGTGGACCAAGAAATCACGCGAAAATTTTGTGAAGCGGGCAACATGTTTGGTTGAAGAGTACAACAAAGTTAAAATATTTGGCTATAAGGTTTGTGATTTCTGATCAGTTTCATCATTCATTCCAATAATCTTCTATTTTTAAAGCTTTAGAGCATGTCAATAACCGGCAAACACGCCTGAGTGTAGAGATTTTCATGCGTTTGTTTTTGGATATTCTCTCTGAAATTAAAAGCGGACATTTTGTTGCATGGATTTTATTCACGTCTTTAATACACAAAGCTTTGAAACGGTTTAACGTCGCTTTTTACTAATTTTTTTACGCTTTCTGTTCAGTACTTTATTCCTTGAATTTTCTGATTAATTGGCGTTGAAATTACTTGAAAAGTCTTTGAATTTCACTTTTCCGAACCTGTACCAACCCTGTTATATAACCACAACATAATAATGCACACTGCGTTTTTTAGGTGGATGGCAAGAAGACATTATCAGAAAACATTGCTGATAACGGAGGTTTGAAGTATGCTTTTAAGGTAAATGGAATTTGCGAAAGGTTGGGGAAGAAATGTTTGGGTGCATAGGGATTTAATGCTGCTGATTTTTTTATTCGGGAAAAGTAGATGTTTTAAAGGGAAATAGAAAAAAATTAAGTTTCTCTCATTTGGAAGAGAGATTCAACATTATTCAAAACCTTTTACAGATTTTCTATATCGTATAAAATATATTACCCTTCATTTCGCGAGTTCGATTCCCACCGTGGCCAAGCTAACTTTTTAGCTTGCCCGGTGTGCATGCACACTCAGAGTAACATCACAAACACCATATTCACCTGAGTACATAACACCAACACACACAGAAAATAATCAAACAAAATCGTTATGCATACCGCCATATTGGATATGCATGTACTCATCGTCGGATATGCGCGACATTACATGGCCATTTTAATGATAAATATTTTTTACTATAGTTGCTTATTTTAAATAAAGCACAAACTATGTATAATCTTTCCACTGATATTATTTTTTTTTAAATGTCGATCTGCTCTGGACCCGGGTTGTGACCTCATTTAATTAGATCTAATTATAAAAAGAGATGGCCGATGGCTAAGATAGTTTCGAGGAATTTGTAAAAAGGATTTGTATAAATAATCTGAGCATTCTGTCAAATTGTGGCAAACATAATCAGGGCCGTAACCAGATGCGATATATAATTGCGGGGGGTGCATATTCATATATTGATTTCTTTTAAAAGCGATTGTTTTTATGGTATGTGAACATGAATATATTAGTATGCACCGCGCGTCCAGTTTAATACGGCCGTGGACACAATTTTGTGTTGCCATTTTCAGGACATTAATTGCGACCGATTGTCGAGGCATTCAACGAGTTTTGTCGCAAAGTTGATATCGAAATTCCTTCGAGAAAAATTCAGAAGTTTAAATCAACGAACAAGAACACTGTTTTAACAGTATAACCTTGCAAACCCCTGTGAGCTCTGTATATATCTTAAGTGAAGACTCACGTCAAATGGCGTTTGTCAAAAAATTGATATCAAATGCCAGCCCATTTTTATGCAGAGTGTAGCTAAATTTCGTGTTTTGACTTCATTGGGTCATTCAATTTATTATCCGCACCGTTGTGAATGAGTCCTGTTTAATTTCTCCTGTAAGGATCAGACGTCCGAGAAGTACTCTGTAGTAAGTATCTAAACCCAAGGAATATGGATTTTTCCCCAAAATTATTTACCATTTGCTATCTGCACCCCCCGTACGGATGAGCTTTTGTCAAAATTTTACCTGATTCCTACAGGAATCGGATAATCTATAGTTGAAAGTCGGGAGGGGGGGAGGTGTTACTAAAAAGTGACCTATTGAAATCAGCCTTTCGACATACTTAGTGCGGGAATATAACCATTATGCCAAAAAAGTCCCGTAAGAATCGGATTATCCATTGGGGGGGGGGATCGTATATTAAATGAAACGACCCTTTGAAGAATAATATTATGGTTACCTAGTCCGTCAAGTTAATCGGATAGTAAAATGTTTGCAAAGGAGAGATCATTAACCTGTAATTTGGCTACACACTGCACCAATAACATTTATCTATCGTCTTTTTGGTAGGCATATCAAAAATGGCGTGATATACATGGCAATGAAGAAAAGTTACCAGCTCTTCCTTTTAATAATGATCAACTTTTCTTCATTGGGTTTGCTCAGGTACGTATGTTCTGATATATACTCGTACGAACGAAATCATCACTTTCATTTGCTCCTGGTGTTTGTGAGACCGATTCATAGCCAGCAATTACATGAAAATACGTCAATACGAGTATTATATAAATTAAAATGCATGCAGGATGGGAGTAACTTAAACCAACCCAATTTTACACTGTCTCTAAAGGTGTATCACTCCAAAAATTACTACGAGATTTTAGGGTTGTGCAGGGGGGGGGGGGGATAAGAGAGAGTCTGGGCTGAGTAATTTCTGAGAGCTTTTAAATTATAGCTGAATAACTGTGTACAAAGCTGTGACAATAATTTTCAACCAAGAAATCATTAATTGGTAGGCTAAATATTAAGCTATATTTTTCATGAGATTCAAGGCAAAAAAGTATCCATCGCTGTTCTGTTCTGTCTTATTATCCTTTCAATATTTTTCCTTGTATATAGTTATGGTGTGCCAAATATACAAAAGAAGGCGCTAGAAATTTGATGGATGTGAGCACGCATTGTCTGGATCCAGTCAGGTGTGTAGTGTGAGAGTGTTAGTCGCATGCTTCTGCGATATGCGTTACGTTTTACAGTGAAAAGAGTGTTTCCAGAATGATTCTACCAAACATTGCAAGTTTTTTCTGGGTATTCCAACGCGCCTCTCGCCCCGAAAAAGTTGGGCGTAGTTTTTCATATGTTTTGCAACATTTGTTGTAAATAGTGCAAGCCACAGAAATGACAAAATAATACACTCTATGTATTAAATTAAAACAGTAGTAGATCCACAGTTGTAACAATTTTGATTTGATATTTTCATATTTGATATTTTGATTATTCTTACTACTAAATTAGTAAAATTACTAATATTATGATCTCAGATGCCGCCATGCAGCAACACCCTCCCCCAGATATTTATCCCCCCCCCGAACGAAAATATGAAAATCCGTCTCTAGTTTTGGGTAACTTTATGTTCCTGCTTAAATTTCCTGGTTAATTTAACCACAACTTATCATAGCCTTGACTAATTTAACATGCAGGAATCCTGATTAACACCTGCCATCGCTTGAAACAAGGAAAATATCACAAATTTCGTAGTTAAAAAATCACTTCGGATATATTTTCTAACTTTATAAATAGTTTTAGGTGGGAAAGGTTTGAAAGTACTAAATTTCATGAATAAACGGTTATTTAATCGAAATTTCGTTTGTAAATGTACTTGTGGGATCCAATTTGCTCGACAAATGTCATAATGTGAAATATTCCAATTTTACGTACTATTTTAATACAACATGAGCGGCCGTGTTGTGTAACGGATATACAAAGTCGAGCCGACGAATGGCTTGTAAAACGTTTTGGGATGAGAACAGTCGTATTCTTCGACATTTTAAAATAAATGAATGATATTTGGTGAGGAAATTGAACTTAAAGTTTATGTATAAAGCATGATTCTGTATCAGATACACAAACTCCTTGCGCGCTCCTGGTTTCTTTTACGTTTCATCAATTATTAATGAGTTTCAGAAATAAAATTTCACATGTGGAATGATATGTGCATTTTCCGTAAGGGATTATCTGCCATTTTAGAAAGTCCAATTCAAAATTGCCTTTGCACCTTTCTGTATAACTGTCTACTTAAATTTATCTTGCATGATATATATGCATGCATACATGTATGGTTACATACTGTATAATAAGAGTATATTGGTGGGCTGCCTGTGGTATGAGACTAGGATATATGTTAAAATAAAGTTTAAAGCTAGGATTTTGTTTGTAAGGATAAGAAATAGTTGGAATTAACCCGAAAATCTGAGTTCATATACGCGTACCTTTACTTGTACCAATTGATAGCACGGTAATATATAACATGCATGCCATTTGTTAAAATTTTATACTTTTCCATTAACTTTCAGAGTACGAGTTCCATTGTCCAACTTTCCTGAATTTAGCAAGGCATTTGAATGCCCACTGCCGAACAATACTTGCACGCTTTGGTAGACAGGTGTTTACTTAGTTATATATTGATATAGTTAACAGAAAATAAGTATGGTCAGGAAGTACTGATGAACTGCAACATAATTCCACGTTGATAAAAAAAAATACTTAAAGTCCATTTGAAACAGTGCTTATGCACGTTGTTTTTAATGCAGAATGCAAGTGGAAAATTTGGTTTAGCTTCAAATGTGATAACTAATGTCTAATCTGTTTCAAATGATATAATTGTAACATTTTGTCTGAAGCGGTTTGAAGTCATGCCTATAATGGCCTCACAATTTTGGCCGCCGTGTTTTTAGTCATATTTGCCCGATATGTTTCGGTATATCGGTACATCTTTCGTAGTCCTAGTACTTCCAAACATTGTTTTCTATTAACTGACTGAGCGAGCTTTCATTCTGTACTGATATAGTTTGGTTTTAAATATATGTGAATGTAATTCTATTTCTCGCTGTTATAGTTTACATATGTAGTAAGATATATTGCTTTTATCCACAATGGATATTCGTGCAATTAAGTTTCATATCCAGATCTTGTTGTAACCGCTTCTTGGATAATAAAATGACCAGATCATGAGCTGATGACTATAATTAAGCCAGTCAGTAAGCAGCTATTCTATCCTCAGGCCTTAAATGTCTTGCTTAGGCCTATTTTATACGTCGAACTTTGGTCGCGTCGAATGCAATTAAAACAATAGATAATGAGATACTAAACCTCATTAAGCTTCATTATTTATTGTTTGAATGGCATTTGACGCGATCGAAATTCGACGCATATATCAAACAGGCCTTAACCTTAATCTTAATCCTAGCTAATCCTACAATCGCGTGCAAAAATAATATGAAACTGCACATTTTTGGCCATTTTAAAGTACGTCGGCTTTCCCCTGTTTCCATGATCAATGTTGGAAAAAGTAGGTTGAATTTTCTTTTTTCAGTCATTCACACAACATTGAATTGAGGGTGAGTGGGGCATTTATGCGGTTGTCGAAAATGTCGAGAACAGGATGATGAAAAGGATGACGCAAGTTGTAGAACATTTTAGGTTGTGCGTATTGTCAAAATCATCCTACGAAATTTCCGTAAACATTACACGAAACTTAAGATATTGATTGCATATAGTTATTTAATTTCCAAAATGGAAGAAAACATTTTGGTGTGGCTAACATTCTTCGGTTATAAGACTCCATGACACTTTAACATGAAACAAGATATGTTTAATGTAAGAAAACGCAATGATCAGCAGCAATTCTAATTATTATGAATCCTAACTCGCCGTCCTTACTGAATCAACACCAGCCTAGTCCCAGGCTCTCTCTCTCTATTCGCTGCTTCGATATATTTAAATAAGTCTTAAAAGTTTTATGCCTGGGTGTGCTGTGCGGAACGCTTCAGCGAGAGAGCCTAGCAGATTTCGGTAAAATGGTCCCTGATTTCAAAAAAGTGGGCCCTGGCCTGGTTACCAAGCATACCTCATTTGTAAATGGAAAATGTTATGGAAATTTCCTTTGCATTTATAATTAAATAATTAGTTTTGCTCTAATGCTGTCGGAACAATGAAATAGGCTACGTTTCGCTGCCATACGGTCAGAATGGAATAACAGGCTAAATATGACTCGTGTTTACTAAAATATATAGCCATATTAAATGCTATCTAGAAGCTTGAAAATTATGCCGAGTCTCCGACTAAAAATGTTTTGACAACATCGTCATGTCAGGCAAATATTTCCAATAACCTCAGCAATTTAAACCTGTCAAGTAGAAAGCGTAGTTGTGTATACCAGTATGGTCTAGTGTTGATCACAACTTGCGAGCATATAAATAACATCAACGATTGCTCAAACTCGGTATCGTAAATTTGTATATAAATTTTTTTAGTTGAGCACATTTTTAATACGGTTTGATTTGGTTATGTAGACATCGAACATGCACATGATAAACGAACATTGTCGTATTTATAATTAAAAGGTTACTTGTATATATAAATTTTCCGCCATATTAAAAATACTGAAATCTGCTAGGCGTTCTGAAGCACCTTGAGCGGTGACGTCACACCTAGGTCCCAGTCTCGTACTACATCCACTTTTTTCTCGCGCTTGCTTCAGAACGACTGGGACTAGGCTGAATCAACACATTTTATATGACAAGTTTTTGGTTTTCTGACTGCGATGATAGCTATTAATTATGTGACACCTCGTTAAATTCTAATTTAATTGGCTGATTATGATCACGTGATATGGAATAAAAACTAAATGGAACAAAACGTATAGTACAAAAATGGAAAATTTTGGTATTATAAGTAAATGATGAATGTTTTCATTCGTGCAATATATGCAATGAATGTTTTCATTGGTGAAATGAAATTATTCGTCTCGTGGAATGGAAAATTTACATCTTTTCACATCTTGAAAATATTTTTTTACCATTACAATCATAAACATCCATTATTTGTATATGCTGTTACAACAATAGATCGTTGGCCAATCGCCTGCAAATGCTCAAATTACTTTGCCAAATATTCTTGTTTGACCCGCACAAACAAGCCAAAGATGTACTTTGCCAATTTTTTCCGTGACGAATGTACTGAAAATGAGCTAGCCTATTAGCAGAGTTGCCTGCTTATACAGACGGCAAATAAAACTTGTCATACAAAACTTGCTCGTCTGTAGCCGATTTAACACTGCCCTTGACACTGTCCTCTAGAGTCAAGACCTCTGAGAAATTCAGCTGTTGAGAAATTGCTATAAGTGTACATGCAAACAAGACTTTTTGTCCTACTTTCAAGGCTTCAGCTGTTAAAAAATGTTGTGTCCAAAAAATGTTTTATGCCTACTTACAAAAACTTTCAAAAATCTTTGAGAGCTTTAGCTGTTGAAAAATTGCAGTTGTATATGCGTCATTTTTCCTTGGTAATTATAGTCTCGTCAAATCACCTATATAATGCGTCTTCGATATTTGATAAAATCTTGCGGCAGTCGATCTATTTTATTAGCTATAAGGAATGGCATAAATCAAATACTAACGAATTGAAGTACTTTTCAAAGACTTTGAAGAACTTATTTAAGTTGAAAGACCGGTATGTGTTTTTAAAAATAAACTAATATGGCAAGAGTTTCTTTTAGTTTGACAGAGGAGCCTGGATCACGCAAGCCTTTCAAAGTACACTTGGTTTCCTTCGCGTTGTTTCACATTTATTTAGCCAACATCTGTCAAGTCATGCCAGAGTTTGTGTACAAATTAAATTAGCACTAATATGAGTTATAAACCCAAAATATTTCAAATAGAGCAAAGAAATTTAAACGAAAAGCATTCGAATTTATTGTTTTGAGACTTGAGTGCATGGTTTGCAAGCGGCGGTTCAACGAAGCATGTGGTTCAACGAAGCGATATTTGATTGAACCGCCCTTAAAAGTAACATTTTTACTATGTTTCAAGGTATAGGGAAGGCTGCTTCGGTGGCGCAGTCGCCAGAGCAACCGACTTTCACCTCGGAGATCGCGGATCCGATCCTCGCTATATACGACTCATGTGAAAAGAGTCTGCGATTGTTCACTTGCTTGTTTGGTTATTTATAGATTACAATTAAAATAAATACAATCTGCATGGAATGTAACACACAAGGTGCCAGATTTTCTTTACCTTAATTTACAAATACGTCTTCTTCATTTGCACGACGAATCTATTATGTATATCATCATACAGACACATTAATAATCTGACCCTCACCCCACCCCCACTCTAACCCCTCCTACTCTAACCCCTCCTAACTGAAGGCACCTATAACCCCTCACCCCGCGGCACGATCCACCTCCCTTCTAAGGCGAGTACCTAAATAGATTAATGCATGCACACTTAATTATATGCAACTTTAAAATGAACGCAGATTTATCTTGCCCATGTTGAATTTACAGTTCAATCTACGGGGTTGATGCTTTCCGGGGGGGGGGGGTGAGTTAAAAGTTTGCCCGAATTTGTATGGACGATTGTAATGAAATAAACTGAATTTAACATAATTTCTTATAAATCTGCCCGAATTAATTTTTTTTATTTTTCCTAGCATTTGCCCGAATTTGTATGGTTTACCAAAATTCTGGTACGGGCAGTTGCACCCCCTGTGGTATATCTCTATATCTTATTGTGGTATATCTCAACGGTATATCTTATTATTGTTATTATTATATCTTATTATAGAGTTATAGTGGTATATCTTATTACGCTCCTTCACTTGGGTGTTGTTGAGCACTCTGCGGAGTTGTTAATGGGTGTCTATTAGCGATAATGCAAAGCTCACTTCCCTTGTGGTCGTTTGAGCACTCTGGCCCCATTACGTTCTATATAAATTTGGGGGCTCCATCATATGTACTTTTATGCTAGCATTATATTTTTGTCGTATCTGAGTTCCTTAGGGGTAAATTTTTTAATCAAAGTTGCCTAATATTGAAATTGGCCCATAGCAACCACCTTAGCGATCAAATGCTGTGGTTAAATCGATGTTATTGGCTCGGTTTTGCTGACCAAAATAGTCTACATTTGTACTTGCTTACCCCTCCAATATTACTCTTGTATTTGAAGTCAGTATAACATATTTGAAGTCAGTATAACATGCATGGAATGTAACACACAAGGTGCCAGATTTTCTTTACCTTAATTTACAAATACGTCTTCTTCATTTGCACGACGAATCTATTATGTATATCATCATACAGACACATTAATAATCTGACCCTCACCCCACCCCCACTCTAACCCCTCCTAACTGAAGGCACCTATAACCCCTCACCCCGCGGCACGATCCACCTCCCTTCTAAGGCGAGTACCTAAAAGATTAATGCATGCACACTTAATTATATGCAACTTTAAAATGAACGCAGATTTATCTTGCCCATGTTGAATTTACAGTTCAATCTACGGGGTTGATGCTTTCCGGGGGGGGGGGGTGAGTTAAAAGTTTGCCCGAATTTGTATGGACGATTGTAATGAAATAAACTGAATTTAACATAATTTCTTATAAATCTGCCCGAATTAATTTTTTTTATTTTTCCTAGCATTTGCCCGAATTTGTATGGTTTACCAAAATTCTGGTACGGGCAGTTGCACCCCCTGTGGTATATCTCTATATCTTATTGTGGTATATCTCAACGGTATATCTTATTATTGTTATTATTATATCTTATTATAGAGTTATAGTGGTATATCTTATTACGCTCCTTCACTTGGGTGTTGTTGAGCACTCTGCGGAGTTGTTAATGGGTGTCTATTAGCGATAATGCAAAGCTCACTTCCCTTGTGGTCGTTTGAGCACTCTGGCCCCATTACGCTCTATATAAATTTGGGGGCTCCATCATATGTACTTTCATGCTAGCATTATATTTTTGTCGTATCTGAGTTCCTTAGGGGTAAATTTTTTAATCAAAGTTGCCTAATATTGAAATTGGCCCATAGCAACCACCTTAGCGATCAAATGCTGTGGTTAAATCGATGTTATTGGCTCGGTTTTGCTGACCAAAATAGTCTACATTTGTACTTGCTTACCCCTCCAATATTACTCTTGTATTTGAAGTCAGTATAACATATACTTAATGAAGTACAATGTCTATTTTGTCTCGATGTTTCAAATGGAAGTTTTTCTTAAAGTGCCTATGTCATAGTCAGGGAATTAGACATATGATTTACTATAGTTTCTTGACAAAACCAAGTATAAATTTCTTATTTTTCTTATTTTATTCTTCGATATTTCGATTAAAATTTAAATGGAACTATATCCTTAACCTTCGGTTATCCAACTGACAGGCAGATTGGGCGAGATACTAATTTTATAGCTGAGACTAACAGGCTGAGTGTGCAGGTCAAACACGTATACGCTAATGCTAATCTATCTAGATTTATATACAGAAATATCGGGACAAAACGGCAAACAACTGTAGGCTGTTGTTAAACCCAATCCAGGAGAATCTATTCTCTTTGCCAATACAGGCCAGATTGGAAATTATTGTGTGCAAAACACCTCGTCCGGGATCAATAGAAGCGCCGGTTTGCTTTGAATTTGGGCGTCATGGCCGCGTTAGGATCAACTTAATTTGGGGCATCAAAGAAACTGATATACAGGCGATCAGTTTGATCCGTACGATATGGGAGGCCTAATTTGGGATAACGACTTTGATATAGCTAGTAAAGAAGGTCAACAATGGATCGTTACTTTTATTCGTCTATTGAAAAAGCAACCGTTTATTGCTAAAGATCAAACACTGGGCAAAAGATGTTTCTTGGAAGAGTTCTTTACGTACATGAATACGAATCGCATGAAGGACAACCGAATCTGTTGTAAAGATTCGACATTTCTATATAATTCCACCATCTTTTCTCAGTGCATGCTACAAATGCAATGCAATAGAATCAAGGAGAGTCAGTTCATGTGTGACAAACTCTTTACGAGTATCATCAAGGATCCAATGCATAAACTTCATCATCTGCTGCCCCCGAAGAACGAGACTGATTATTCTTTCAGGACGAATCGGTATTTTAATATGTACGTTACACGCACGAACCGCTTTTATAACTCTTTCATCCCTGCTATGTGTAGGAAGTTTGTAGGATAGATTTTACGCTTATTTTAATCGAATTTTGATCGAGGGTGGGTTTTATAATATTGTATTAATAATATATTTATATGTAGTGCATGTGATAATATGTAATCCACGCAATTCAGCTTCTGGCTGCAATGTGGTTTCAATTTAATAATAATAATAATAATAATAGTCAAGAGTACATATAACAGACGGTGCCTCGCTCTTTGACACCAAGGGCCTTTTGAGAGCCATCTCTTTGAAGTTTGACAGCAATGTGGCATTTACATGGTGGTATGATGCAGCGGACAGTTTTTGGAAAAAAACAGAGAGTTGAGCTCTTACGGAATTTAACAAGGCGCCGTCATCCACGAATGGTTGGTTTATAAGTGAGATACAATTCTACGATTTGCAAAGTTTATCCAAAGGAACATTTATATCAATGAGCATCTCCCTCGCTATTGCTTTTGGAGTGATGCTGCTTACAACAGGAAATGTATATATCAGTGTGTTTGTATATCTATTTTTACCATTGTATGCGCCCTAGGCGTTACTGTTGGCTCGCTAGTACTTATGGGATGGAAGTTGAATATTTTAGAGTCGATTACGCTGTCCGTCTCTGTGGGTTTATCTGTCGACTTTGCATTGCATCACGGAGTTGCATGCGTGTTGGCTGTTGACAAGACTGACAGGAAGTCCAGGGTATCCTTTTCTCTGGCTGATATGAGTTCGGCTATTACTATGGCGGCGTTTACCACCTTTATTACAGGTTAGTATGTTAATAATAATATATATCTCCATAATAATAAGTCTTATTGTCAAGTAATCAGTTACCGTAGGTAGCAAAAGTTAATCAATGTGGGACGTGATTCATCACTAATTGTAATGATATATTCTGTATAAAATACTGTATGTGCGCGAAAGTATAGTCTGAGTCTATAAGAATGAAGGAAATAGAGAGGGAAAATGTTTTTGAAAAGGGAAAAAAGAAAAGAAGGAAAGCAGAAATGAGAAGATGGAGTGCAGAATAATCACAGAGGCACGACGTCTTGTCGGCAATTTTGAGGTTAAAGTGACTGCCGCCACGCTCGTAGCCAGTGCGCTAAAGAGAGCCATCCCCCTAAAAATTTCAAAATGCTTGCTTGGCATAGGTGTTTGGGGAACGAGTGCCTCTAGTAAGCGCACTGGTTAGGAACATGGCAATAGCAGTGCAATTGCGAATCATGGCGTGGCGGAAGTTACAGGGTTTTGTTGAGTCTCACATCTGTAAGGGCGCGAGGAAGCATGTAAAGCGTGGAAGAAATAAAACTTGGAAGAAAGGATGTAGGGATTAACGAAGAAGAGAGAAAGGCTGCATGGAAGGGAAGAAGAATGGAGAGAGGGTGAGGAAAAGCGACAAAGGAAGGATGTAAGGAAAGAAGGGAAGAGAGGTGGAGGGGGGGGGGGGATGAAGAAAGGTTGGAAGGAAGGAAGGAAGGAAGGAAGGAAAAAGGAATGGAAGTCAGGAGAATAGGAAGGGGAGAGTTGTAGGCAGGGTCTTAGCTAGGATTTTAGGTTTTGGATGTGTTTCTAAATTGCCAGGGTGTGTACTTGCCAATTACCGAGAATGGCCAATTTACGGCTCCAGTTATAGGCTCGCCAACAATATATAGACTATGCCTGTGGTTGTTATTTTCCGCACTGATATTACAGTCAATTAATTTAGAAACTCTTGGGGCATTTAAAGCCATTTTAACACCATACGGTTCCCATTACCTATATATCCATATAATTATATAAACATAAAAACATCACCGCGGATCACTTTTACCAATTTGAACAAATTAGATTTCACAAACTTTCTTACGACATAAATAGGAGTAAATTCTGTCTTTTGTCGGTAACACAGTATTTTACAGTATGAACCTATACAAAGGTTTGAACCTATACAAACGAAAGTTATGACTTATTTAAATACATGACTTATTTAAATACATCTAAATCATCCCGCCTCATATCTCATCCTGGCAAAGCGGGATCATAAAAACAGCCCCTTATTCAGCAAATTGCGCATGCTGCCTTTGATCCCTTATGCTTTTTGTGATTGATTTGCACTGTCATACTTAGTTTCGGGAGAAAAGCATTTCCGTATCACTTTTTCCGATGCTTTACCACAAAGATTCCGACAACATTGATAATTTTCCGACGCGTCTCAACTTGAAGCTATATAATCAAGGATTCCCTTTTTTATTGCTGCGTAGCGAGCGAGCCTGAAGCGAGCGAGCGAAGCAGCATTCTAATATGTGCAGAGAGGGGGTTTTGAAGTAAATTTTATTTAGCGCATTGTATTGTGGTCGTGTGCGCTTGCTATGCGCAGAACACAAAATAACGTACGACAAACAATATTTGAGGCGTATTTGAAGGATATCGCTCATTATTATTTTTGCACAAGTGGAACATAACAAATCCTACAAGGTGATTGGTCAAATTTGACGTATTAATCTGTTATATTCACCTACAGGTGAATATAACAAAATCGAAATTTTCAAGATGGCGGCTAGCCGTTTTGTTGCGCCTAGCAGTATTAGACTTAATAATACGAAATCAGATAGCAAAAACTTGTGTTATATAATTCACCTGTACGTCTTACAGTGCGTCTACAGTAAGTGGGGCCACTTAGAGAACACTAACCAATCGAATTGTAGAACAAAAAGAAAAATCTAATCAAACTAAAGCTCGTCCAATCAAAAGAAAGATTCAGGAAGCCATTAACTGCAGTGTTTACTTTTACAAGTCTATTTTACCGTTTGACATTCGTTAATTTGTTCAAATTGTTTTTGGCCTAATGCTGATTGGCTAATGTGCCGTTTGTTGCTTTTTTTCAATTTTTGTTCTGCAATGTGATTGGTTAGTGTTCTCTAAGTGGCCCCATTTACTGTAGACGCACTGTAAGAATGCTTTGTCGTTTGAATTTATACGCGTACTAGAGCAGCGCGTATTAAATTCAACAAATTCCACTTGATCTTGAAAATGGTATATATTCTTGCTTATGATTTAGTGAATATTACTTCCATAAACATTAACATTAACACGCCTATCCGTAACCTGTGATTGCTCTTGAACCCGTGCATGGTCTTGGCAACAAATGTATTGCTTTTTCTCAGACACTCATGGCATGAATTCATTCCGTATTCCTTAAGCTCCGACCACAGTGCTCACGAGTCGCCGGCTCGCTGCGAGTAATAATTGCAAGCTTTATGTAATTTGTACTATTTTTAGTTCTGTTTGCTCTTGGTGCCCGCAGCAATCCTTACCTTGCAGGTACCCTTACTAGTACAATACATTTTATCAGGGGCCTCCAAAATTTTGCCAGGGGGGTCCCTGGCTACGCCTCTGGAGAAAAGGGGGGTCTGGGGGTCCTCCCCAGAACATTTTTACATTTGTGAAGCTCCAGAACTGAATTTCTGGCGTTTTCTAAAGCGAATTCACAAACAAATTGCATGTAAATTGACTGTTTTTTACAAAAATGTTTCTCAAAAATAATTACTTTATTACGCAAATTTTACCTGAAAATGTCAAAATTTTAACTTGAATTTTACATTATTTTTGTTTGAATTTCACAGTAGCGGGAGTTTTACACCCACACCCCCAGTCGCTACGTCCCTGACAACCATTCCTTGCGAAGATATAATGACTTAGATTTCTAAAAAATCCTCCATTTTGATCTATTTTTAGTAACAGTATGGCGGATTTTTCGACATTTGTATCACTATATCTTCCCATAAAATGGTTGTATTTAGAAACAGATTTCAGTTTTAAAATACCCTTAGTGTGCTGTTCTAATTAGATTTATAAATTCACCTGGCTTATTTTTAATTTTTTGCCGCCAAGTTTGTGACGTAGTTTAACCGCCAAAAAGTAGCAATTCCATAAACAAACGATTTGTAAGAACGATATGTTCTATATTCATGGAAAATTTGGTAGAAACAGAATGAGAATTTCAGAAGTTCAAGCATATTGGTGCTTTTGCATGCATTTTTGACAGGCGTGTTCATGCCAAAACATGAGCCTATTAAATTGGACATTTGCGTCTTTGATCTTGCGCACGCGCTGTTGCTATTTTTGTCAGTTTCTTGGTTTCATATTTCATTTGAGCGTCATAACAACACTGTTAGTTTGGCGGCCGAAAGTAAGGGACTTCGACTGGAGAAAGGATTCTACAAAGTTGTAGAGGATAGAGTGCCCTTAGAACGAGCTAACTATCCTAGCTCTCATTGATAATGACTGTTCCAACATTATAGTGATGGAACACTTGTTCTACCAGGTCAAGTATGACAGCCTTGTACGTATAAGCGCCTTTATCCTTATGCTTCTTTGATTAAGGTGGCCTTAAACAAATCGTCCATTATATAATCGGTTGAAAAGAAAGTTATAATCCAAAAATTCTTTATTTCAAAATTTACAAATATTTTCGTGCACATTGCTATTGTTGCTGCCGCAGCGAGCGAGCCTGAAGCGAGCGAGCAAGGCAGCAGATCCTAATTTTGTTTTGTGGGTCGAAATCAAAATTTTCTATTTGGCGCATTGCATGACAGTACCAGTGAATTTTAACCGTGGTGCAGCGCGGTCAGGCATAAGGCAAACAGGCAATATGATCATGTTTCATCTTTGGTCTTCTTTTGTGGAAAGCCATAGCTGGCTTAAAGTGATCAAACGGCATTTTATTTTTGTTGGGTGCTTTAGCATTATACGGCTGTGCTTTTGGCATTATACGCGGTGCTTTCGCCATTATACGCGGTGGTTCCAGTATTATACGCGGTGCTTTCACCATTTATATACGCGATACTTTTGCAATTAACGCAGTGGTTCGAGCACTATATGCGGTGCTTTTAATATTATACGCGATGCTAGCTTTCATTCAATATTATTTCCATATTCTTTCCATGACATGTATATGTCATATATTAACGATTGCTTAAATTTGGTATGTGCATGGTTGACAAATTCTTTTTGCCTATGGTCTGCAAGGACAATGACATGCTTTTCTGTGTATATACATGTAAATGAATATAACGCAGCGAATGCGCCAAACAGTATAAACGCGGCTGAAATACGATATTAAAATCTTAAATGTGCCGTATGATTTAACTATGTTTTAGGAATTAGGATTTACAAACGCTTTGTCATTTGTATTTATACTTGTACTGCATCACAAGGCAGTACGTACTGTAAGTGAAAAAAATCCACATGTGAGATTGTCTTGTATATATTTTTGCTTTCTTTGATAAACACTATTAAACACGCAAATTTTAATTAGTGAGACGCAATGTTAAATGTCACCTGCATGTCATTGTCATTGCCCTTTAACCCCTGGTCTAATTGGCCGCTTTTGAAAATATTGATCATGACGAACCGCACTGCCTTAATTAAATGCAAACTTTGTGTTTTAAAAACGGGTTAGGATAAAACGCGGATACGGACGGACGGATGAATGACGGACGGACCGGACGGATGACATATATATGTCGTTATATAGTCTGCGCGAAGCCGCGCAGGGTAGTTAGTGCCTTATACTTTAAAATAATTTTGTATGTACCGAGAAATCAATATTCCGAGTATATAAATATATAAACTGGGATGTCACACTGATAGCTTGTTTACATTTCCTGGAGCATCATGAAATCTTATGTTTAACCACGGTGGTTTAACCCATTAGCTGGCAATGCGCCCTTCCCTTGTCGAGCGCCAGAAGATTTTACTCGTCAGTGGTATAGGGTACTGCCAGTAAATGGGTATGCGCCCTTCCCTTGTCGAGCGCCAGAAGATTTTACTCGTCAGTGGTATAGGGTACTGCCAGTAAATGGGTTAACAAACCTATCTGCCAATGGCTCTTGTTAATTCATCAGCACAGTAATGACCCCTACTTTAGTATTTACCTTGTCCAACGCCAGACGATTTTTAATACTCAGTCAGTGGTAGGGTACTATCAATAAATGGGTTAACAAGGATAACAATAATTAGCCTGCATGGCAGGCGGTATTTCCCAGGCTTGCCCAATTTTAGGAACCGCCTGCCATGCAGGCTAAACAATAACAGGATGTTTCTGAAGGACTCGTTCAACACCCTCTAGTTTGTCTTTTTCTGTTAAAGGCAGCATTACTGCACTGTGGGTAACCTAGTTCTAAATAATGTATTAGTAGCCGCATGCAAACAATAACAAGCAGGGGCGTAGGAAGCATCAACATTTCTAGGAAATGTTGGCGACGGGGAGGGAGAAGAAAAATTTTACCATACCGAAATTGCACGTTATTGACCAAATTTTTTTAAAAAACTTGGAAATTTCCAAACAAAAAGGGCAACTTTTGATGTTAATTTAGTATTTACAGCGACATTAGCTTGTACAAATTAAAAAGGGCACTTTTCATCACAAAACTAAGGACATTTTTATGACAAAAAAGGGCACTTTTAGTCCTTTGAAAAAATTTGGGGGGCAAGTGCCCCCCGGTTCCTACGCCCCTGGTCAGAAATTAAACAAAAAAATATATGTTTGGGCCAATTCTGAATAATCATAGTCTAAAATGCGGCTGCACACACTACAACTTTAATAAACAACAAAATTTGCAAATTGCAACATGGATTATTTTTGATGAACTAGTAATTACAGCACGGTTGATAGATCACAGTTGCTTGCCAAAATTCGACGCAGCAAGTTCAAAAGGAGTTTTATTTTCTTATAACACTATCATGAAGTTAACCCAACGTGCAAAATAAGTGTGCAAATTAATCGACAAATATTTAATATTTAGTGAAATACAAGTGCAGACACCCCATTGCGTAAAATTATGTGAGAAACTAAAAAAATGTACAATGAGGTCATGGCTTTTACCCTTTTTGAAGGTCGCACGAATTTATTAATCGGTCGATACACAAGCGGCCCAATCTCGCAAGGGCCAGTATAGACTTTATAGCAATATTGTGGTAAAAATATATTATGGTAAAAATATGTCATAAAATATAAATTTTAAAACGAAATTGACTTGCCTATTTGATAGTGTGTGTTCTCCTTTTATTCCTCTTTTGTTGGACTAATATTCTCCGAGACTTTGCACTCGTGCATTTCGATGGTACTAGTATACATATCGTGTAGCCTAGTATGTATAGACTGTATAATAATACCATCGAGTGTGAAGAAGTCTCGGAGAATATTAGTCCAACAAAAGAGGAATAAAAGGAGAACACACACCGATCAAATAGGCAAGACAATTTCGCTTTAAAATTTATATTTTATGACATATTTTACTATAATATACATTACTATAATTATAAAGTCTATACTGAGATATTATTATTATTTTATTATTATTAAAACTTTATTTAGGCACGGTATTATTTAGTCTCCTATACGCAGCCTGTTCGCGGGTCTGAGGTTTTCTCCCTACTAACAGGCTGCTTACTGCAACTAAACTATATTACAAAAACTACAATGATACAAAGTTATCTCTACACCTGCTTTCCATGAGGGCCGTGTGTTAAGAATAGCCATTATTGGGCCGCCTGTCAGTCGATATCACCAAAATCATAAGCAAATATTAAAGCACATGCAGGCTCAATATTCAAATGCATTCGCATAAAATATTTACAGGAAGCAATTTCTTATTTTTTATTTATAAGATCTTTTGTGAAATTAACTTTAAAACAAATGATAGCGATATTAATACAACGACGTTTCGAGGCTTCTTGCAACATTTTCAAGTTAAATATAAGAATTATTCGTATTGTCTAGCTATTGAGCTTTAATTATAATGGCCACGTGTTCGTGTTACGTAAACAAATGATTGAACTTCGGCCTGCAAATACTCGCGCAAACTATACGCGTAATTTTTACTTTTAGGTATAACCGCACAAGAAAGGACATAATATATAATAAATGGTTTACTTACTGTATTTTATAAACGTCCCGCAAAAAATAGGATAAAATATATTAATTTCTCTGCTTAGATCAAAATATTTAACGCAAGCAACGCACTGCACGCCTTCAGTCTTTCGACTACTTTCGACGAAAGTCGGTTTATGTACCGCATACATAAACCGACATACAGGTCGACATGTTGTAAATTGTAACATTTGTATTTAGTATTTTGGCACAAGTGAATATAACAAATCCTACAAGTTGATTAATTGGTTAACAAAATTTGCAAAATGGCGACTAGCCGTTTTGTGGAAGTTACTCATAAAGAAATAAGTAGCCTAAGTGACTTTAAATAAAAATAAATAATAATAATAATAATATTTTTGATAAACAAAAATATTATCGATTTTTGGAGTTTCGCTTGTTTTGTATTCTATTATAATACTCTAGACTACGACATAGTCTGTGTAATGCGATAAGTGCTAATTTCCGCTCATGAGCGTCTGTGACGCAGGCTAGTAATACTCTCAATACAACATTTTAATATGGGTTGTTTTTGTAAACCAAAGAAATTGGAAAAATTTTTAGCGACAGCACCTCGTGAGACTTTAATCCTCTTGCCACATAACCACATTTGTGATTTGTCGTTAATATAGCCTACTTTCTTATAATTTTATTTTAAGATCGACGTTTAATAATTAAGGCAAACGCTAACGAAGTTTTGATTTTACAACTCTATTATAATATATAGCTTTTACACCAGTTTTGAAATTGACCGCTAATCATGTATTCACCAAAGCAGTAAGTAGAGATTTGGCGTTTGAAGTTGACGTATAAATTTCATACTTGAGCTTCTACGAGCCGAGGGCTTGTAGTCGTTAAAGCATGAAATTTATACGCCAAACCGCGTAAACTTCACTGAACGCTAAATCTTAATTTAGGCTAATTATATCAAGTTTACTATTGTTTAATATAGTTCAAAACTGGTGTAGTAGCTGTTCTAATAGAGACTAGACTAGAGTTGTAAGATCAAAAACTTCGTTAGCAGTTTGACGCAAGGTCTCTAATAGGGAGCTCAAGTTAAGACAGTGCACCAAATCTGCGACGCGACTAAAAAACAGTCGCTAATAATTGGAGACTAGTTTTACTTTGTTCTTCTCGTGTCCCTGGCTTTGTTTACCAACAACAACAATCCATAGTTTTTACCCGTGAAGTGAAACTGTGATAATACCGACAGTTTTTCGTCACGTCCGCGTCGTAGATTTGGTTATCTCAAGCTCGCTAATGACGTTAAACACGGAAAACACTTACACCCGTTTTCAAAATTAGTACGCGATCAGGCTAAAAATAGCTAGGGTTGACATGTCCGTTTACGTCAAACAGCTGTCACGAAGTTTGAATTGTTTTCAATTTCGAGTTTCACGGTTCGTTATTAATAAGCCGACCATAGTACTGTATTACAGTATAAAATATGCAAAGAACAACTCAAATAATCTTAATACTTGTTTACTTCCACTACGAGAACGGATTTCCAGACGAGCGATTATTTCTATCGCTCTTTCGGCGGCTGTTGGTCATCTTCCCATTCGTTTGCCGCAGCAATTTCAGAAAGTACAAACACTAAAATGAATCTTGCAAGCATCCAATGCCATACAAATGTTGAAACAAGAACGACATTTAGAGCAAAACATTTTCCAAGTCCTTGGCCTATTAACATCAAAACATGCATTAAAAAAAAACAAACAAACATTAACATGCATTAATATAATACCTATACAACGTTTTTAATTGAAGAGATATAACTTCTTTGACACTAACCTTCAATGGAAAGCTCATCAAATGATACGTTTAATACTGACTCTTCCAATGTGTCTTCTGAATTGGCATGTTTATTTGGGTCTCTGAGATTAAAAAACTTCACAGCCTTTCGATACCTACAAAATTTGATCCACTCCGATAGCAATCCGGTATAGTGTAAACGGGGCCTAAGATGTACCAAATCTACGACGCGGACGTGACATATATAAAAACCATTGCTGATGTTTCGAATCCAGTTTTATTTTAATTTGCTTCACTAGAGTGTCTCTGGCTTTGTTTATCAACTGGAGGCCATAATTTTTATCCGTGTAATGAAACTGTGGAAATAGTTACAGTTTTTCTTCACGTCCGCGTCGTAGATTTGGTGCATCTTATTTTAAGCTCGCTTTGATAAACATATACACCCTCCCCGAACAGGGCACAGATAATTGAAAACAGTTTAAAGTCTTCAAATCACATGGAGAACGCTAATATTTTAACACTGTTTTGAGCGTCCTTTTTATATACACCTTCGCTGAAAAGTTTGTGTCAATTGCTCAAAGGAATTTAGAGTTATTCAAGTTCTAGCACTTTTCGACCAATTTCGTACTTTTTCGACCGACTTCTGGCAGCAGCCGCTCCTTGCGTTATCAACAATATAGTATTGTAATTATCAACCGTTATTAGCAATAAGTTATTGGGTTGTAACCCTAACCCCCACCCCCCTAACCCCTAACCCCTAAAGCAAGGCCGCTGGGGCTTGCCCATCCACCACCCCGCCGTCTCCATAGTGTTGCTTGTGGTTTTCTTTCCAGTAACAACCCAATAACTTATTGCTGATAACGGTTGATAATTACAATACTATATTGGTTGATAACGTGCGGAACGGGTGCTGGCAGAGGTTCGGCTTTGTGCTTTTTTCGCCTGCTCGTCTTCCACACAGCGGTTCAATACGGTAAGCGTATGTATGTATGTATGTATGTATGTATGTATGTATGTATGTATGTAAAACTTTATTTCAATACGCTAACTTCGACAATTATTTACAACTGGTTTCCACGAAGGGCGTATACACACAAAGAGCTAAATGTTAATTATATATAGAACAAAATATGTAAGAATCCCACCCTAAAATTTTATCATCTTCCTCCCAAACCTCCACCCCTAAACAAGTACCCACCCACCCTCACGCAAAACTAACCCCCCTCCCGCCCACAATCTATATTGTCCTCCCATCATTTGGTCCTGGAGAAATTAGCTTATCATCTGCTTAAATGCAATTTCGCCATTGTTTTAAATGACGTAATTGACTCAGCCGCCTTGACATCTTGCGGGAGACTATTCCATAGAAGTGCTCCACTGTATCCAAATGTTTTCTTTAGAAATTCCGTTTTCGGTTTTTTTAACGAGAGATCAGTTTCGCTATTGCGTAAATCATAAATATTCTGCGATGCATTTCTCCGAGAAAAAAGATCTTTAAGGTTTGGCGCAGTGTGGTTCCCCAAGACGTTATACATCAATACTAGCTTGTTTTGTTCTCGTCTCCTAGCCAGGGTTTCCCAGCCTAATTTGTTTAAGACTTCAGACGATCTTACATCGTAGTCAGCTCCGGTAATCACCCTTGCTGCTCGATTTTGGAATTTTTGCAATTTGTCTTGAAGTCCCAAACCACAGTTATCCCACAGGGGAGAACAGTAATCAAAATGAGGCTGAATTAATGTTTTGTAGACATCATGTAAGGTTTTATTCTTTTAATTGCTCCTATTCCAGCGCTAATCTTATGGCATACAGAATCAATATGTTTCTCCCAACTTAATTTTTCATCTAGATTTACACCTAGACATTGAAATGTATTGGTTTGTGGGACTGGGATTTTGTTAATCTCAACAGGTCTATTTCTTATTTTATTATTTAGATTATGCGTAGAAATGCGTTCCTATTTTATTATTTAGATTATGCGTATGAAACCTCTGCTCTGTGCCTCTGCGGAGGAGAGAGTGGTAATATATTGTGTGGCAGCAACAATGATAAAATCACATATATGAATGTCATATTTCTGCGTATAACGAAAGCACCGCGTATATAATGACAAAAGCGCCTCATATAATAAAGGAAGCACCAAATGACAAAAGCACGGCATTACAATGACGAAAGCACCGCATTACAATGACGAAGGCACCGCATATAAATTATATAAGGGGTCACGTCCATATTCATGTTGCCACGCATAACGTCGAATCGACGTTAACACTCAAACCCACCCACCCACCCTAAATAACGTCGAGCGTGGCAGTCACATTCTTCAAAACTTTCACAAAATTGTCATTTTGCCACGAGATTATCGAGATAATGTCGAGAGAATTGAGATAAACCCACCCACCCACTCATAACATTGATTCGACGTTATGCGTGGCAATATGAATATGGACGTGACCCCTAATGACGAAAGTACTGTATATCTGATGCAGTGATGCCGGATTAACCACTCAAGACAGTCAGCTCATCGTTCGAACTCTATAATTTGCTTGATCATTTTACGGCTTGACTGGAAGCACAAAGTCTGTCACTGGTAACTGTCTTTAGCTAAACATGGCAAGAACTCCTTTTAGTTTGTTAGAAGAGACTGAAACACGTAAGCCTTCGAAAGTACGTTTGGCTGTCATCGTGTTGTTTGTAGTACTGCTTGTTCTGACTGTGGTTTTCATTTCGCTGTATGCTGTTGAGAGAAATAAATCCAGTAACGAGGGAAGCACGTCCACGAAACAGCAGGCGAATGACACAAATCCTACCGCAAGTCAAGCAACAGGCAAGCAAAGGCATTCAACAACTGCGAAACCAACCCCATCAACTAAGACCTGTACTTCTCCAGCTTGTATCATTAGTGCTGCAGGTATGTATGTATGTGTAATTATTACATAATTGAGTCGGTTTTCATTGTTATTCATAAAACTGTATTTAGCATAATTACCTGTTCATTAGGTTTACGCTCTAAAAGCACTGGGAGGGATTTGATTTTCAGCAGGGAAGAGCCGGGCTGATTATGAATTTGAATTGCTCAATACACACATGAGGAGGTATATATCTAGATAAATACCTCATTAAACTATTCATGAGGTATTTATCTAGATATATACCTCATGAATAGTTTAATGAGGTATTTATCTAGATAAATACCTCATTAAACTATTCATAAGGTATTTAACTAGATATATACCTCATGAATAGTTTAATGAGGTATTTATCTAGATAAATACCTCACTAAAACTATACTCATGATGTACTTATCTGGGTAAGTATCTAATGACAGGTACCCCAACTCGATAAACGCTGTACCGTCTCCAGTCCGGAAAGAGACAACAGCCGTGTACCTCAGAGCCCGTCAAAACTCTACCATTAGGTAAGAGTATGTATCTATGACGTCATATTTCCGCCAAAATTCAAGTTTTCTATTTGTGATCCTAGTTTGTGTATTTTGTTCAATTCTTAATACAACATTCAACTTTTCACAATTGAGCATTCAACTTTTCACACAATTGAACATTCAACTTTTCACACAATTCAACATTCAACTTTTTTACGCAATTCAACATTCAACTTTTCACACAATTCAACATTCAACTTTTTTACGCAATTCAACATTCAACTTTTCACAATTGAACATTCAACTTTTCACACAATTCAACATTCAACTTTTTACGCAGTTCAACATTCAACTTTTCACAAAATTAAACATTCAACATTTTACCAATTCAACATTCAACTTTTTACGCAATTCAACATTCAACTTTTACGTAATTCAACATTCAACTTTTTACGCAATTCAACATTCAACTTTTTTGAACATCCAACCGCAATCCAATTTAAACGACGTAACGCCGGCTCACATGTGGCTCAATCACGAGGTGTAAAATATGGCGGATTTAAGCGAAGTGAGAGAGATACTAGTCAAGTTAATAGCAAATAGAATTTCCGACTTGCAACAGTCAAGTGAGTCTAACAATTCAGGTAAGTGTAATATTGATTGTATTGGTTTATTAATATTCCTCTAAAAGTACTCTACTACACCTGAGTGACCTCTACTATTTTGTCAACATGAAATTTTAAATTAACATAAAATTTGCGGCGCTAGGGTAGAGTGCCGTTTGTATAATCTTATGTTTTTAGGATAAATTGATTCGAACAAAATAAAAAGCAGCGAATAAGTGAATGGAAGGTGTTTTTGTACACGTTTAATCCACAATTTGATCGAAATATATTATAAAGTGTATACAGGTGAATATGATGCTTGTGATGTTTATACTCTGAGTGTATATCTACACCAGGCAAGCTTGAAAAATATGCTTGACCACAGTGGGAATCGAACCTACGACCTTTGGGATACTAGCCCAATGCTCTGCCAACTGAGCTACGCGGTCTGGTCGGTTCGAGTATGTGATATTTCGGAACAGAATATAGTTCCTTCGATATCAAATCTAGTAATCATGATTTTTTCTGTGTTGGTGTAATGTACTCAGGTGAATATGATGCTTGTGATGTTACTCTGAGTGTATATCTACACCGGGCAAGCTTGAAAAATATGCCTGACCACGGTGGGAATCGAACCTACGACCTTTGGAATACTAGCCCAATGCTCTGCCAACTGAGCTACGCGGTCTGGTCGTAGGTTCGATTCCCACCGTGGTCAGGCATATTTTTCAAGCTTGCCCGGTTTAGATATACACTCAGAGTAACATCACAAGCATCATATTCACCTGTATACACTTTATAATATATTTCGATCAAATTGTGGATTAAACGTGTACAAAAACACCTTCCATTCACTTATTCGCTGCTTTTTATTTTGTTCGAATCAATTTATCCTAAAAACATAAGATTATACAAACGGCACTCTACCCTAGCGCCGCAAATTTTATGTTAATTTAAAATTTTATGTTGACAAAATAGTAGAGGTCACTCAGGTGTAGTAGAGTACATTTAGAGGAATATTAATAAACCAATACAATCAATATTACACTTACCTGAATTGTTAGATGCCTCACTTGACTGTTGCAAGTCGGAAATTCTATTTGCTATTAACTTGACTAGTATCTCTCTCACTTCGCTTAAATCCGCCATATTTTACACCTCGTGATTGAGCCACATGTGAGCCGGCGTTACGTCGTTTAAATTGGATTGCGGTTGGATGTTCAAAAAAGTTGAATGTTGAATTACGTAAAAAGTTGAATGTTGAATTGTGTGAAAAGTTGAATGTTCAATTGTGAAAAGTTGAATGTTGAATTGCGTAAAAAAGTTGAATGTTGAATTGTGTGAAAAGTTGAATGTTGAATTGCGTAAAAAAGTTGAATGTTGAATTGTGTGAAAAGTTGAATGTTCAATTGTGTGAAAAGTTGAATGTTGAATTGGTAAAATGTTGAATGTTTAATTTTGTGAAAAGTTGAATGTTGAACTGCGTAAAAAGTTGAATGTTGAATTGTGTGAAAAGTTGAATGTTCAATTGTGAAAAGTTGAATGTTGAATTGCGTAAAAAAGTTGAATGTTGAATTGTGTGAAAAGTTGAATGTTGAATTGCGTAAAAAAGTTGAATGTTGAATTGTGTGAAAAGTTGAATGTTCAATTGTGTGAAAAGTTGAATGCTCAATTGTGAAAAGTTGAATGTTGTATTAAGAATTGAACAAAATACACAAACTAGGATCACAAATAGAAAACTTGAATTTTGGCGGAAATATGACGTCATAGATACATACTCTTACCTAATGGTAGAGTTTTGACGGGCTCTGAGGTACACGGCTGTTGTCTCTTTCCGGACTGGAGACGGTACAGCGTTTATCGAGTTGGGGTACCTGTCATTAGATACTTACCCAGATAAGTACATCATGAGTATAGTTTTAGTGAGGTATTTATCTAGATAAATACCTCATTAAACTATTCATGAGGTATATATCTAGTTAAATACCTTATGAATAGTTTAATGAGGTATTTATCTAGATAAATACCTCATTAAACTATTCATGAGGTATATATCTAGATAAATACCTCATGAATAGTTTAATGAGGTATTTATCTAGATATATACCTCCTCATGTGTGTATTGAGCAATTCAAATTCATAATCAGCCCCGCTCTTCCCTGCTGAAAATCAAATCCCTCCCAGTGCTTTTAGAGCGTAAACCTAATGAACAGGTAATTATGCTAAATACAGTTTTATGAATAACAATGAAAACCGACTCAATCATGTAATAATTACACATACATACATACCTGCAGCACTAATGATACAAGCTGGAGAAGTACAGGTCTTAGTTGATGGGGTTGGTTTCGCAGTTGTTGAATGCCTTTGCTTGCCTGTTGCTTGACTTGCGGTAGGATTTGTGTCATTCGCCTGCTGTTTCGTGGACGTGCTTCCCTCGTTACTGGATTTATTTCTCTCAACAGCATACAGCGAAATGAAAACCACAGTCAGAACAAGCAGTACTACAAACAACACGATGACAGCCAAACGTACTTTCGAAGGCTTACGTGTTTCAGTCTCTTCTAACAAACTAAAAGGAGTTCTTGCCATGTTTAGCTAAAGGCAGTTACCAGTGACAGACTTTGTGCTTCCAGTCAAGCCGTAAAATGATCAAGCAAATTATAGAGTTCGAACGATGAGCTGACTGTCTTGAGTGGTTAATCCGGCATCACTGCATCAGATATACAGTACTTTCGTCATTAGGGGTCACGTCCATATTCATATTGCCACGCATAACGTCGAATCGACGTTATGAGTGGGTGGGTGGGTTTATCTCAATTCTCTCGACATTATCTCGATAATCTCGTGGCAAAATGACAATTTTGTGAAAGTTTTGAAGAATGTGACTGCCACGCTCGACGTTATTTAGGGTGGGTGGGTGGGTTTGAGTGTTAACGTCGATTCGACGTTATGCGTGGCAACATGAATATGGACGTGACCCCTTATATAATTTATATGCGGTGCCTTCGTCATTGTAATGCGGTGCTTTCGTCATTGTAATGCCGTGCTTTCGTCATTTGGTGCTTCCTTTATTATATGAGGCGCTTTTGTCATTATATACGCGGTGCTTTCGTTATACGCAGAAATATGACATTCATATATGTGATTTTATCATTGTTGCTGCCACACAATTACCACTCTCTCCTCCGCAGAGGCACAGAGCAGAGGTTTCATACGCATAATCTAAATAATAAAATAGGAACGCATTTCTACGCATAATCTAAATAATAAAATAGGAAATAGACCTGTTGAGATTAACAAAATCCCAGTCCCACAAACCAATACATTTCAATGTCTAGGTGTAAATCTAGATGAAAAATTAAGTTGGGAGAAACATATTGATTCTGTATGCCATAAGATTAGCGCTGGAATAGGAGCAATTAAAAGAATAAAACCTTATGTTCCACACAAAACCTTACATGATGTCTACAAAACATTAATTCAGCCTCATTTTGATTACTGTTCTCCCCTGTGGGATAACTGTGGTTTGGGACTTCAAGACAAATTGCAAAAATTCCAAAATCGAGCAGCAAGGGTGATTACCGGAGCTGACTACGATGTAAGATCGTCTGAAGTCCTAAACAAATTAGGCTGGGAAACCCTGGCTAGGAGACGAGAACAAAACAAGCTAGTATTGATGTATAAAGTCTTGGGGAACCACACTGCGCCAAACCTTAAAGATCTTTTTTCTCGGAGAAATGCATCGCAGAATATTTATGATTTACGCAATAGCGAAACTGATCTCTCGTTAAAAAAAACGAAAACGGAATTTCTAAAGAAAACATTTGGATACAGTGGAGCACTTCTATGGAATAGTCTCCCGCAAGATGTCAAGGCGGCTGAGTCAATTACGTCATTTAAAAC